AGGGTCTACAGGGCCTACAGGGTCTAGAGGGCCTACAGGGCCTACAGGGCATACAGGGCCTACAGGGCCTACAGGGTCTCACTACACAGATCGGACTTGTAGTGATTTTCCTGTTTTCAGCCTCTCAAGCGCTGGGATTATAGACACGCACTACCACGCCCAGTCTCAGTCACCATCTCAGTGCACCCCAGGGGTGAGGCTGGCATGGCATGCCAGGATCGATCCTGAGCCTCTGGACTCTGCCTAAGCAGGTGCTTTAGTCCGCGGAGCTATCTGGCTGGACCTTGTGACTCTATATTGATTTGGATGATTTAACTTTAAAAAAAAATTTAATATATTGGTACAGGGTCTCACTGTGTGGCTCAGGCTTGTAGTGATCCTCCTGTTTTCAGCCTCCCCAGCACTGGGCTGACAGGCGTGCACCACCACATGGGTCTCAGTGGCTGGCTCAGTGCACCTGGGCCCGGGGCCGGTGTGGCATTGTTAGAACCTGTGTAATTGATTCCAACTTTGTAACTCTGTATGCTTCCACTGTAACTTTATTAACTGTTTTAACCTGACATATGCGCTGCCATCTTGTTCTGTATGCGCCATTCTAAATGCTGTAACTTTCCACTGTGCCCTTTCTCTACCTGAGAACCTGCAGTTGGGCCTTTCTCACGCTGGCCTTTGTGCACACCTGAATCTAGTTCCAGCCCACTGCCCTGATCTTGCCCTCGTTCCCAGCTACAAACTGTACCCACCACTGAACCTGTTATTGTTCATTAGAAACAGGTAATTTTTCAACTGTAGTCCCTAGATGAAGCCTTGACATCAGCTTTTGTGGTTTATTGGCTTAAATACCCACTCCCCTCATCCTCCCGGCGCGCACCTCAGCATCTTGCCGGGGTGTCTGCCGCTGGATACTAGCTAAAATAAAGCGCTTCTTTTCTTTTCAAGCCTGCCTCATTTTTGAGTTACAACAGCATGCGGTGCTGGGGCTTGAACCATGGGTCCTGGGCTTGCCTAAGCAAGCACTTAAGAAGTATTTCCCTTTTCTCCCCATTGGCCCAGCTCTTCCTGATTTTTTTTTTCCAGAACTGGGGATTGAACTCATTCCCTGCACTTGCCAGGCAAGCACTTATTCTACTGAGCCATCTCCCTGGCCCCCCTAAGCAGGCACTTAGTTCGCTGAGCTATCTTCATGGACACGAATAATTTAACTTTTTTAAGAACGTCTCTTCTACTTGCTAGACTGCAAGCTCCTCAAGAGGCTGTTAGAGGCTGGGTGCGGTGGTGCATGCCTGTAACCCCAGCACTCAGGAGGCTGAGGTAGGAGGACTGCTGTGAGTTCGAGGCCGGCCTGGGCTACAAAGTGAGCTCAAGGCTGACCTGAAGTGTATAGCAAGACCCTGTCTCAAAAGACAAAACAAACAAACAAACAAACAAACAAAAAAACAACAACAGGAAAGCAAACAAAACTCATAAGAAAATGAAAGAGGAAGAGAGAATGGGAGTTTGGTTCTGCTGAGGTCTTGGCGGATGCCAAGGTATCACTCACTTGAACACGGCGTTCTGGCGCTGGGCTTCTTGTAGGACGACCAGCAGCACTGAACCCCCTTTCACGCTGACCTCTATGGTGGCCTTGAAGAGCAGGTCGACCCCTCTCAGTTGGTTGTTGACGGTGTAAATGACGGTGATGTTGGAGGCCGTGGTGGGGCCCGGGGTGGGAGAGGTGGGCAGCGATGGCAGCACCTCTTGGTCTGCAGAACACAGTGATCATGTCTGTCAGAGACGACAGGGTTCTGGGAGGGACACAGACACTGCGAGGCTGACTTGCCCAGAAAGGGTCAGGAGGCAGGGAATTTCAGAGCAGGTAAGGAGACATGTGGCCAGCTCGGGCAGAGACCTGCAAAGACCCCGCAGCATCCTGGGAATGCGCGGAAGTCACCGGGAGGTAGCTGAAGGGGCTGCAGAGATGCAGCAAGGTTGGATGCAAGTGGGATCAATTTGCTAGGTTTTGGTCTCTGTGGATTTTTCCTTGTGATGGACAAGGCATTTATAATTTTATTTTTGGTCTTAAGAAGTCCATGCAATGTAAATGAGTAATATGTTAGTATCTGATTAAAAGGAAGAATTAGAGAAACAATCACCCTTGGAGTGGTCCAGTTTTTGCGAAGAAAACCTCCTTTCTTTCTTTCTTTCTTTCTTTCTTTTTTTTTTTGCGGAACCAGGGATTAAACTCAGGCCCTTGCACCTGCCAGGGAAGTACCTATTCCACTGAGCCATCTCCCCAGCCCCTAAGAAAACCTCATTTCTAAATGTGGTTCAGCACTGCTTGAATTTTGAGTGTTTCTGCATTATTTTTATAATTGTAGCAACTAAAGCTATTTCAAATTACAAAGTGGGATGCCGTGCCTCTACTCCATCCCTTTGGGCTGGGGGGAGGAAGCTTTCATAGTTGTGTCTTTCCTCAGCTGAAATGCCATGTCTGTTCTCCTAAAGCTCCCACGTAAAATCAACAATTGGTCCCTGCTTGCTTTAATGTTTTTGTTTTAGATTTAATTTCTATTTAATACCTGTTTGCTTATTCCAAATACTTTAGCTCTTTGTGTACAAATCTGGCTGCTACTTTGTACATAGCAGATAGGATGCAGTCACATGGTATTTGGGGAGTCACCCCTCAAGAGGTGGATAAAGCTGCTTTGCTGTTTGGAATGCGGGCTTCCCAGCCCCAGCTTCCCACAAGGGGCTTTCCCCACAGCAGGCGCCCGGAAACTAAATGCTGGATGCAGTAGACCGGGGCTGAATTCCCGGGGCTGGCTGCCCTGGCCGTGTGGCAGTGCACCCCACTGATGACCAGACGTTGGGGAGCACAGCAAGCTGGCTCACTGCTTCACCTCGCTCCCCCTCATGCTTGTGTGCATTGCTGTTTTGGACAGAAGCAGAGGCAGATGCCGGAAGAGCTCTTACCAGAACTGCAGACCACGTGGGGCACATCTAAGTAGGTCTTGCCTTTCAGGGATGGGAGGATTTGGGCGATGGACATGGGCACCTGGAACATGCCCTGCTGGATCTCCTCCAGGACGGTGGCCATGGTCTGCTCACAGTCCCACTTCTTGTCAGGCTGCTCCGGTGTCACAGAGAGAGCCTGGGGCAGGGGAGCAGGAGAGCCGAGACAGAGGTCAGGCCTGGCCGACAGTCGGCCTGCACCTGCCCATGATGGCTGTTGGTCAGTAACCCTAGTGATTATTCAAAATTCAAGCTGAAGTGATGTGAGGATCGGGACCACACTGGCTATCTGCAGTGCCACGTGTGGACCCCCTTAGTGGCACATCTGTCACAGAGCAGTCACAGGACAAACGTGCACCGTGATCAGTTTCAGAGAACACTGCCAGGGCTGCCGTACTCATGAGCAGGTTTTGGGTGTAGAGCGAAGGTGAGATTGAGCCAGTCAAGCTCCAGAGGGGACTGTACACCAGGCCACATGCACGCCTCTGTGGTTCACACTGCCACACACACGCTTTGTGGACTTCTCCCGTGGTGGTAAGTGGGTTGGGCCTGTCAGAGTGAGGCCCCACAGCCCTGAGCACAGGGTGGGTCCTGTGCTGGATGGGGCTGACCCAGTGTCCTGGGCCTTGGGGAGTGATTGTTGGGCACATGCCCTGCCCAACACAGACCCGGGGCAGAGACACATTTATTTTCATGCTGTGGTTATTCATCTGGGACCATGTGCACACATAAAGGATTGCTAGTGACTGCCTTCCCTAGCCACCATGAAGAAGTCCTGCAGAATGAGGGCCCAGGACTGTGGGACAGCGGGATGAGTGGGGCCTCATTTCATGACCTGAGCCCTTCTTTTAGTTATTCCTGAAACCACCTAGTCTGACCCTGGAATGCTTAATGTATGTGAAATAGTAAATCCCCAGTTTTGTTTTTCTTGAGCAACAATGACCTGGGCGGGGGAGATAGCTCAGGGACACAAGTGCCTGCCTGTCAAGTACAAGGTCATGAGTTTGATTCCTGGTACCCTAAAAACCAAACCAAAACTCAATAAAAAACAATGACTTGGGTTCTGTCACTTGCAAAATGAATCTTTAAAAAAATTTTTTTTTAAATGTATTTGGACAAGGGTCTACAGGGTCTCACTACAGAGATTGGACTCATAGTGGTTCTCTTGTTCTCAGCCTCCGAAGTGCTGGGATTACAGGCACATGACACCATGCCCAGTCTCAATTGCTGTCTTATCACACCCCAGGGGTGGGCCAGCATGGTACACCCGGGACCGAACCCTGGCCACTGTGCTCTGCCTAAGCAGGAAAATGAATCTTGATTAATGCACCAAGCAACTTGCTTCATCTAGCTGAGTTTTCTATCTTGTAGTAAAATAGAAATGTAATGCCCACCTATCACTCGGGGAGTATCATTGGATGGGTGGAAAAGCGCCTTGTAATGCAGGATGAAGCAGCTGTCTCGGCACCTCGCTCCCTTAGAGCTGTGTGAGTGGGCCAGCAAATCGTGTTGGGAATGGGGTTACTGATGGGCAACTTGCCTGGAGCTGGGGATGGAGCATGGAAGAAGGCAGAGGGGAGTGAGGAACAGTCTCTACCCTGGAGAGCAGTGTGACAGGAGGGGCCATCCGGGTAACTGAAAATCACGGGCTGTGACTCTCACTGCCGAAGCCTCCCTTTTTCATAAGCACCGTAAATATAGCCTGCTTTTGTAGATTAAGATGAAAGTTGAACAGAACCACCTGGTTGTAAGCCTGAATTAAACATTACTATTTAAAGCACTTGCTTTAAATATCATTATTTATACATAAAGCATTTGGTAGTCTATATTTATTACTAGTGAATTAGTTGTTATTAATAATAACCCCAAACTTTCCCAGATTTTTTGCCAAGGAGGAAAAATTCACCCACATAAGGTGGTTGTCATGCTATCCATGAGACAGGGGGGACGAGCGCACACCGCGCTTCCCAGCAGGAGCAGGCCCAGGCCCCGCGGGGCCCACCCCACGTCGCCTAGCTGGCTCTGCAGAGGCGCTGGGCGCCTGCAGTCCTCGCCGGGTGCAGGCTGGGCGCCGACTCACGCTGGAGCGTCCAGCGCGGCTTACCTGCATGGCAAGGCCAGTACTGTAGATGTTTCCGATGATGCCATCGTCGCTGATCCTCATGCTGATGTTGTCCACGATGCTCTTCAGCACGTGACTGAACAGGGTTCTGTAGCTGTCCCCGGAGCCCACGGGGATCTTGTTGTACATGCACGTGAGGGCCAAGGTCGCCACGGCTCCTGTGCCTGTGAAGCACAAGGGGCAAGGCCACAGCCTTCAGCACCGCCACCGCCACCGCAACGGAACGGCCAACATGTGTCCTGTTCTCATGGCATTCTAGTCAAAGGATCTACTCAGTCCTCTGGACAGACTATGAAGTGGGGCCTTCACAGGTTCCTGAGAGGGTGCAGTAGCTGAAGAGATGAAGAGGTGGAGGCTCAGGGTCAAGGAGCCGCACAAGCCCTCGTGGTCCAGAAGCAGCAGGGCCAGAATCTGAACACAGCTCAACAGTGCCTGCTTTCAGTGAGTGAAGACTGGCGCTGTGCTGGATCCCACTTCTCTTGCCCCAGTGTTCACCTCTCCCGGGCGTCGCCCCTTCTCCGGCAAGCCTTCCGGGAGTCCCGAGCAGGGCATGCTCAGCTTCCATCCCGAGCTCTGCTGGCACTTGTTTTTGCGTCTACTCTGCCATCTTGGCACTCTGCTGTGCACTGTGGCTGCTTGGGCGTGGGAATATGGCCGTCTAGAGCACCCAGGAAAGGGTTTTTGCATCACTTGTGCATGATGGACATACTGGGCAGAATGGGCGGGCTCTGGACAACAGGACCAGCAGAGCAGGTGGACAAGCTACCAAGTGGAATCTCGTCATTGACCCTGCCCTCCCACCCTAAGCTGAAAGTACCTAATTTCATTAAGGACAGTAATGTTACTGGCACCAAAAATGAGGAGTCCGTGCTTCTTGGACTGGCCAACATTCCCCTGCAATGAGTGAGGCTTCCCCTGGGAAAGGGAGACCAGATTTTTCTTACCCACACAGGAGGAATTGCAGAATATTTACCTGAGGCTTGTCTGATACAAGCTGAAGCTGGGGGAGTTCCTGAGGGTACACGAGTAAAAGCTGCATGCAGGAGCAAATGCTACAGCTCAGAGGGCAGCAGAGGAGGCAAGTGGCCCATGAGAGCTGTGAGGGTGGCCGTGGGGATTGCCCTACAGTGAGGGGGTACAGTGCTACAGAGGAACAAGCTTGCTTTCCACGCGGCTATAAGCTTGCGAACAGAGGAACCCCAGGGCCCCCCATTTCTGGAAGGGCTTAAGGTTCAAGTAATAGCTGTTCACTAGAAAGGGGAGGTGTGAGGTCATAAGGGGAAGCTTCAAGGGGAGCAGAAGGCGAGGAGAGGGTGCAAGCGGGGGCAAGATTTAATTAACTGGGTCTATTTTCTATTTAATTTGGAAAAACAGTTCTTTTTTTTTGTTGTTGTTGTGTATTTGGTACAGGGTGTTACTACACAGCTTGGACTTGTAGTGACCCTCCTGTTTTCAGCTTCCCCGGTGCTGGGATTACAGGTTTGCACCACCACGCCTGGACGTGGTCTCTGGCATGGTGCGCCTGGGCGGTGGGGCCAGCACAGCACGAGGGACCAGGGAAAGCACTTCTGGCTCCGTGGCACGTTCATCCCTCCCTATTGAGGTTTTGTGGCTTCTGGACCTTTCAGGAAGCTGTGCTTCTCCACGCTGTTGCCTCATCTATCTATCTATCTATCTATCTATCTATCTATCTATCTATCTATCATCTTTCTTTCTTTCTTTCTTTCTTTCTTTCTTTCTTTCTTTCTTTCTTTCTTTCTTTCTTCTTTTTGGTGGAACTGGGGATTGAACTCAGGCCCTTGAGCTTGTAGGGAAGCGCTTATTCTACAGAGCCATCTCCCCGGCCCCTCGTCTTTCATTTATTGCTTAAGCCACATATCCAGGAAATCCTGGTGAACTTTCCCCTGCCTAGACTCACTTCCGTGGCCCCAGGTTCTCCGTGGCAGTGCTCTACGTGGCCACTGGCTCCAGCGTGGGCTCAGGGCAGAGTCGGAAGTGGCGTCCACTTACCCACATCAAAGGGAGAGGTGTTGGCCAGCAGTGCCTTGGCAAAGCCCACGGCGATCGGCAAGGTGGTTTCGGGGTTCTTCTGGCACAGGGCCAAGACCGCCAGGCCGGGCGGATAGAAGGCTATGGCTCCCTCAGTGGGGTCTAGAAGTGGGAGAGAGCAACTGTCATCAGGCTGGGCCATTCAGGAAGCAGGCCAGGCCAGAGCTCTGCAACATGAATGGAGCCATCTCTGAAGAAAGGTACAGTCACGGAGAAGGATCACTTCACTGTGCTTGGGATGAGAATGTTATCTGGTGCTTGGACGCAAAGGGAGGAGGACGCACTCTGCAGACTGCAGGTGCCTGCCGGGTCCCTGCAGCGGGCGGGCTCAGCCTCCAGGTCCCTGCTGGGTGAGGGGGAGACGGACGGAGTGGAGGGAACATGGTGCCTCCCGCTAACATCCCGCCGTCGCTCTACCGCCTCCCCTCGCTGGGCTCCAGGTGCTCAGGCGGTCCCTGTGGCGCGCTCAGCCCTCCGCTCCCTGCACGCTTACCTGGAGCCACCCAGCGCTCCATTTCTCTTTGTAGAGCAGACACTTTGCTCCCGGTGTCTCTGCAGGAGGAGGTGAGGGCCATGATGTTAAGAGCAAGTTGTCCCACCGTTAGGTCTGCAGAGGAACAAACAGGACAGTGACATAGTGACACCAGGGCACCACTGAGCTTCCTGCTTTCTCTCAGAACCATGTTGAGTTTTAAAATAGTGCACTCACATAAGTTTTTGACCTGTTTTTCCAAAGATAGGTGAAATATACTTAAAAGAATATTGAATGTAGGGTCCTGCCTGTGACTTGTGACTCCATTGGAAATCCTGGGTTTATCTGATTGGAAAAGCAGCAAGAAGACCCACCCAGATTTATCTATGGAAAGCCAAGTGACAGAATCATTTAAATTTTGTTATTTAACTTTCAAGCAACTCTGAAGTATGGAATGGAGATTTTGTTGCCACGGCCATTAGGAGCGGTAGCATCAATGATATTACTAGACGGTAAGTCAAGGACAAGAAGCAAGGGGGGATGATTCTGTACGTGGGACAGGCAGCGCCGGAAGCCTGCTAATTTTACATTGGTCTGGGCTCTTCCTACTTTCCTGGCCTCCTGCCTAAACACTCTGAGCTCATACTTCTTCCCTTCTAGGTCTGCTCCGGTGTGTAGCGTGAGGTACAGTGACAGCGACCATCACAGGTGGCATTGGATTCACAGTGGCACCAAGCTGGGCTGGGGAGGAGTGGTCAGTGTGTGGGACTCAGGGAGCAGGGCCAGGTCTTGGGCATCTCACCAGCAATGTTACTGGCTACGAGTTCTTCAGTTAGGAGCTCTTGGGCCTTCTGGTTGTAGGGTCCCACCAAGTTCATGGCAATCAGGATGCTGGGGTTGGGGTATGATGACCGGGTCACTGAGTTCTCCATGAGCACTTGTAGGCCATCAACCAGGGGCTGCTGCTTTTCGGGGACAGCTGAGAAGACAAAAGCCACTTATTGACTTCTCACTCCTCCCCCCATATTAGAAACATGATCCCCAGGTTTCTTGTTCTTTCTTGGTGTCCTGAGTGGTTCAAGAGGGAAGCAGAAACATTACAATTTTTCTTTGAAAGCCAATTGGTCCTCACGTTCTCTCAAATTCCCCATTCGGCTCACTTTAAGCAATATGGTTCACGGATCTCCCATGTGATTCCTGGTGCTTCCGGGCTGCCCTGCCTCTGCTCCCTGCTCCCGTGAGTTGTACTAACGTTCTGGGATATGACATGCACCTAGCAAGCACCATCACACCATCACTTCCTGCTTCCAGTGGTCCTGCTCTTGAGAGCAGCCGAGTGTGTCATTCCTGCGTAAGAGCCATTCAGTCTCCCTTAATAAAACATCTGTCACCTCGACTCCCAAGGAACTTCTGTTGAATCAGCCAGCATGAGGCCACACACTAGCACCCACCTCCACTTACCCCGCTGGGACTCCTACAGAGATCTCTATGTCAACCCCCTTCTCCTCAGCAGACCTCAGTGCCTGGGGTCTGGGCCTGCACCCAGGGTCACAGCTGTCCTGTCCTACTTGGAGCAAATGCTATACTCACAGCATGTGCTTCTGACCTGGGCAGAGGTCCCAGCCAAAGCCCAGAGATGGCTCAGGAGGAAGAGGGCAAGCCAGGTCATTGTGTGCTCTGCCGTCCTGCGCCCTTTGCTCACTCACTGGTCCCGAGTTTGCGAGCAGGGGTTCTCGCTTTCTCTTATATGTGCGGATCTTGCAAAGCATTGTGCTCCTCCCCTCCCACTCCTGATACCCGGACTGAGCGCCCCTCCCCAGGGGAAGTGCTTTTCCATTTGTTTATCTATGTTTACTTACAGGATGGTTCTCTGGCTAGTTGTAGAGGTGACTTCTAGACAGTCTAGGTGCAGGAGAAATTTAAAATTGGTGGGCAGCATGCCAACGATGACAATATATCCTTCAGCCAAGTCCCGGATCGTTGCCTCAGAAGGCTGGCTCATATGAAAGTGCAAAAAGCCTTTCTCTAGGGCTTCCTCTGTGGGGTCGAGGAACCTTGTGCTTTTTGTCTATCTGCAGCCCCTTCATCGAGGTTTGGGAAGCTGTAGAACTCAGCTTATTTCATGGGTCAGGGCACCTTTGGGGGCTCTCAGGTGAGGATATACCTTCCGGTGAACCCTGACTTGCTGTAATTATGTTAACCTGGACCTGGGCGCTAGCCTGGACTCTGCGAAGTAGTTTGACTTTAGGCAAGAAGTAGACTTCAGTTTCCCTGGTATTGTTTGGTTTCTCCTTCCTTACTCAGGGATAGAAACACTCCCTGGCACTCAAGGCTCTCAGATCTAGTACCATCTTCTGAAGTCGGTCGTTAGAAAATGTGGGCTAGGAAACTGCATTTCTATTTACTCTTTAAAGAAATACCACCCACCCCTTGCCCCCTCTGCCGTGAGGCCATGGAAAAAGCAAAGAGCGCCCCCTGTGGAGAGCTGGAATGGTGTCTTGAGAGTGTGAGGGAGGGCCGCGCCTCTGCATTTGCAGGAGCTTCTTTGAGGGAAACTTCTCCAGCGGCGCCCACTGTAGAGTAAATGTAGAAGTCCCCTTTGGGACCTGTGGGGCTCTGTGAGGTCTGGCTTCCAGTTTCCTTCATGAATTCATCACCAGCCCCATCCTCTGCTGCTTCCTCTGTTCCAACCACATGGGATCCTCTACTGTTCCTCAAAAACTTCACCCAGGCTTGCCCTCGACAGTCTCCAGAAAGCCTTGCCAAGCAGTCTTGTGGTGGCTGCTTGCTTAATTTCTCTGCCCAGAGGAAGCTATTGGAAAGGCTTTCTGGTCCAGGCCCGGAGGACAGCCCCACTGCTGCCTGACCGCCCTGCGGGCCTCGTACCTGCTGTGCGGAGTCGCACTGTGTGTCGTTCCCTATGGCCAGTCTCCCTGCTGTCCAGGATGTCTGCTCCCAGGAGCAGGAAACTTGCCGGCTCCTGTGCCCAGCCCTTGGAGCTGCACGGATGTGTGACTGAACAAATAAAATCGACACCAGGCCTAAGGCGCTTTTCCCTCTCGGGGAGCACTGGTCACTGTATGAGGAAGGAGCACAGTGGGGCGCAGCACCGGGCTTCTAGCGGCCTCCGTCCCCACCCCTGCTCATCATCCCGTGTGTGTCGCCCCTTTTCTTGCATGTGGGCTGGTCTAACTCTGTGGGGGTTGGGCAGCAAGACCGGTGGCCCCCTCGAGCCCCGTGAGGTCGCTCTGGCTCTTCCTGATCTCTGCTCTTCACTTGCTCCAGGAAGCTGCCAGGTCCTGAGCCGTCTTCTGGAGAAGCCTCCAGCCCACACGCGGGGAGGAGAGCCTTGCTGGTTGACCATCCTCCCTAGGAGCTTGGCGGTGAGGCAGCCCCGGCTGACATGCTGCTTGCAGCGTCTACGAGATGAAGCTGGAGGACCCAATTAGGCCTCCCTGGATTCCCAGTCCCTGGAGCTGTGGGATAACAAATGTTCTAGGCTGTTAGGTTTTAGGGTAACCTGTGATGCAGTGCTGTATGACGCGTGATTGGAAAACACAGTGACTTCTAAAATTTAAAATAACTCCTTACAGTAAAAGATGCCTTGCCACTTACCCCAGCTTGCTTTGAGCCTGCTCACCTCACCCTCCCTCCCTCCCTCCGTCACAGCGGCTCTGGAGTCCTCTTTCCTGAATGTCCTTAGGTGTGCTGTCCTGGCTCCCTCAATGTCCTGGATTCAACACATTGACCTTTCCTGGTCACGTTGACTTTGGGGAAGAGCGAGAAGTCACATGGAGCCAGATCTGGGGAGGCAGGTGGATGGGCACAGCAGGAGTAAATGTAGAAGAGTAAATGTAGCAGTTTCCTTTTTTTTTTTTTTTAATGCATTAAGTCCAGGGTCTACAAGGTCTCACTACATAGATTGGTTTCGCAGTGATTCTCCTGTTGTTAGCCTTCCACCATGCCCAGTCTCGGTTGCCCTTTCAGTGCGCCCCAGGGGCGGGACTGGCATGGCATGCCAGGGCTCGAACCCTGGTCCCTGAATCTGCCTAAGCAGGTGCAGGAGTGTTTCTATGAGCCTGTCTTTCTGTTGGATAGTGGTGTGTAGCAGAAACCACTGTATTCTTTTTAATTTTATCTTACCTGGTAAAGATTCATGGTAGAGGGCTGGCCAGCTGGCCACGTCCTCATCTGGGGACAGAAGATACATCACACAGGTGATGAGGCAGAGGGACACGAAGGTTATGCGAAGCACCACGGTTGCTGACGAGTGGGCCCGAGGCAGGAGGGTTGGCTGCAATTACCAGGAGAGCCCAGTGCATCCCGGTCCTAGGAGGGCGAGGGAGGCGGGAGGACAAGGAGGACAAGCCTCTGGGAGAGGGGACGAGGGGACGGACGCAGAGGGTGGAAGGGGCAGGGAGTGGACGAGCTAGGAAAAATGAGGGGTGGTCTGTCCCCTGGAACATCTGGAAGTGACGCAGCCTGGTCATACCTAGATTTTAGCCCAGGGAGATCTATCTGGGCCTTCCGATCTCATGAGCCTTAAAATAATAAGTTCTTTTTGTTTTATGTTGACAAAAGTTTGTACTTCAGTATAGTAAGAATAATGGTACATTAGGAACTGACACGGTGCTGCGCTTGGGACCCAGATCCTGCTTGGGACCACCCTGAGGTGACCCCATACCTGTTGTGGGCTCGCTGTTCATTGTGCAGTTCCTTTAGGTTGTCACTGACAACCAGGGTTGCCACAGCATGTGACACAGTGATTGCACTTAACAAACACAGGAATACCACAACAGGAACCCTGCAAACCACACATTTCTTCATTAGTACTGTTCTGGTGGGCAGCTGGGCTGGACTCGCTCACTTGCTTATTTCCTTTTGCCTAATATTTTGGTGTCAAAGTTCTCTGTCTCTGTCTCTCTGTCTTTCTCCCTGTCTCTCTGTCTCTGTCTTTGCCTGTCTGTTTGTCTGTCTCCTTCTCTGTTTCAGTTACTCTTGTTTTGTTGCTGGGACAAATACTTGACACCCAAAAGGAAGGAAGGAAAGGTTTATTTAGCTCACAGTTAGTGGAGGTTTCAGGCCATACTTGGCTGGCTCCAAGGCACAGCGGCACATGGCAGAGGACAGCAGTTCGTGGTGTTGGCAAAGAGCAAGCGAGCAAATGGGAGGAGCAGCGGCAACAATGGCTACAGAGAGCAAGGGTCTAGCTTCCTTTTACTTTACTTCAAGGGCTGGGGAAGATAGCTCAGTGGCATTAGTGCTTGACTGGCAAGCACAAGATCCTAATTTCAATCGCTGGTACCACAAAAAAGGAAGAAAAAAAATGAAAAGAATGTTACTTCACTTCTTTCTGAGGTGACCTTCCCTCTGATAATTTTAAAATCCTTTTCACGCAGGATGTGATCAGTGATACTCCTTGCGTACAGCTGTGGGTCTTCTATTGAACACAGAGGGAGACATGGAGGCTGCCGACTGCCCCGCTGGGGTTCAGATAAGTGTGAAGGAAGGCACAGCGTCAGTTTCCACGTGCAAGCCAAAGAGACAAAGATCTGCATTTGTTAATATTTGCTCCAACGAACCTCCAAATCTTCCCCCTCATGGACCACATAATTACCGACTCCTGAAAAGAAGAAGGAGGAGAACTGGGGCCGGTGGTTTGGTCATGGACAGGGGCCTGTCTCCTCTGACCCTGCGGTGCCTTCCGGAGGAGCTTGCTCCTGTGCCCGAGTGCTCTGGGCTGGTCCCTCCGAGCTCCTTCCCAGGCTCCTCCTTACCTTGGCTCAGGGAGCTGCCGTTGCTCAGCAGCTCCCAGTAGGTTCTGTCGTGACTGCTGGCCTTCAGGCCCTGGACAGAAGTGATGAAGGGGCCCCAAGAGCTCTGCTCCACGGTGAAACTGTGGGGGCAAGGGGCGGGCTGCATCACTGCAGGCTTTTCAGAGTGAACCCCTCGTGGGTACTCGTTTCACTTTAGTGGACCTAAGCATCCCTTGACACCACTACAGAGACGGACACATTTCCTGGCTCCACGCCTGGGTCATTTGCTTCTCAGATGCAGCCCGGGGCCAGGAGTCTGCACATTTTGTGAGCAGTGCGGGTGATTCTGAGGTAGCACTCAGCACCCTTGGCTAGTGGCACCACCACAGCTCTGTCCCCACTGTTGTCACAAGAGATGCTTCGCAGTGAGCAGCTCTAGCCTTCTGCCCCAGCGCACGAGCTGCCGAAGACACAGAAGCAGGGGAAGAAAGGGCGAACCTCTTCTCCCAGAAGCCACATAGGTTAGTGGATTTCCTCTTAGGAAAGAGGACCTGGAAAAAAATAACTTGAAATTTCATGTGGTATTTATTAAAAGTGACACAGGCGGTATCTACTTCCCATTCCTTGGTTACTTTTCTCCCTTAACCCAGCTGTGAGATGACTAGGAATAGCGAAGGAGCCGGAGTGTTGCACACGTACATGGTAGTCGGGTGCAGGTGTGTTGCGCTAGGTCTTTCAAAGCTGTAGAAAATGTCTAGGCAACGTTCAGACATACCCAAATAGGGTCCTGTTCTTTTTCTGAGCTTCCTCCATCACATCTAGGAAGATGGAGCCACGGGGCACAGTGACGGTGGTGGAATATATTTCATGGATTTTCACAGAGTACTGAACGGAGATGTGCGAAGGTGGTTCAGGAGGTGCAGTAGGCTTAGGACTGGAGATGCTGAAGTTACCTGGTGGAGAGAGAGGAGCAGAGAGAACCAGAGCACGGAACATGACATCAGTGTTGGTGCGCTTAGCCGGCATCTAAGGACCCCTTTCCTCTGAAGACGGATGGATTCAGTACAAGAAGCGAGAACCGCCCACAGTCTTGAGTTTTCTTTCTGTTCTTTTTTGGGGGGGAGGTCAGGGGATAGCATCCAGTAATACTTGTCCGTTTCTCCCTTTCAATTTCTTAGCAGCCCTTGTATTCATAATTCTGCCTGAATTACTTTATTGAGTCCTTACAAAGGTTGGTATTATGTGCTGTTTTTTTTCTGTTGATAACGTATTTTTTATTTTGAAGAGAAAAAAATAATAAAACAGAAGTTCCAATACAGGTTAGTGGAAGAATCACAATAATTAATATATTGCGTATTGCTGTCTTCTTAGTAGTTATCTGGATTACAAGATCTAGTACAAGATCATGCATGATATCATGTTTAATATTACCACAAACATTTCAATGAACCGAGAGAAACAAGCTGCACAACTATTTTAATTATCTTGTGAACAAATATATATATATCTTCCCTTTCTTCCTTTCCCTGTCAGCTCCCATTTTTCACATTAGAAAATGGAAGCTTAGAGGTGACACTTTTGTTCAGGCTTCCTCTTGCGTACGTGGCAGACTCAGGAATGTGGAGAGGTAGTAGCAAAGCTTTCCTTTCTTTCTACCTAGCTTCTTTCTACCAAAATGATTTATCTGAATGACTGGCTGTGTCATTCCTTGTTTCCAGATTACTGCCACATCGCCTCTACCCAGACGTCTAATTTCCCCGAGAGATCCCTGTGTTTTGGCACGAAGGGCAGAGTCCGAAACAGATTCTCAGCTTCTGTGCTTTGTTTAGAGAGAGAAGGGGGCTCAGGCCTTTGCATGTCAGCGGAAGACAGCCCTTTGCAGACAGATGTCATTTAATCCAGGTCACCTTGTGTATCGGGATTTGAACTAAAAGCCATGCCTACCACTGCAGCCACACACCCTCAGGGGGTTATGATCCCTGATGATGCTGTGGGAGCTGAGTTCTGAGACCGTCCCGCTCCCTTACATGGACGGACATGCCTGGCCCCTCAGGATTCCCACAGCGCAGGTGCTTTGGGTTACGAGAGGCTGAAGGGGAAAAGGGCTCAGTCCCTAGTCCCCACCTAGGCCACTGGTGCAGGAGGAGCCCTTGTTGACCTCCAAGTAGGTCCTTCCCACGAGGGCAGGCAAGATCTGTGCCGCGGCAGCCGGGCTGGTGAAGGCTGCCTGTGCAATCTCCTTGAGTATTGTGTCTAGAGTTTGCTGGCAGTTCCACTCACTCTCTTTGTAATATTCTGATGAGATGAAGAGGGCCTGAGGAGAAAGAGGAACTGAGCGTCCCTCCAAACTTGGGGCAAGGCTGCCTGTGCCTCACTCAGTAAGACCTCACTGAAGATCGAGCACACAGGAGGTACCTTGGTTATCTTTTCTGCTACCAAGAAGCTTACAGACCAGTTTGGGTGGAGAGTCAGGGATGTACTTAAGAACATAAGCTACAATGGCTCCAGTGAAAATAGACGGTCTCAGCCAGACTTGCTTCTCTATCCCGATGCTGGCAAATGCCCATTATTAATACAGTTACCAGGAGAACCATTGAGAAGGAGCCCTAAGGTGAATGCTGTGACAGAAGGGTCTCAGGCACAGCCTCTCAGGGGAAGGGAGGGACTCGTAAAGAGGGCGCGAGGCCTAGGAAAGGCTTTGTCGGAGAAGGCGGTGATTAAAGTATGCAATAGTTCAGTAGAACAAGCACTTTGCTGGCAAGCGCAGAGCCCTGAGTTCAATCTCCAGTACCGAAACAAACAAACAAAACAAAACAAAAAAACCCCAAAACCCCTAAAAATCAAGGGGAACTTGCAGGAGCTAGGGCCTCCTGGGAGGAGGAATGAAAGGCAGGGCCCTGAGGTGATGCAGCCGCCCGCATCTTTGCAACTACTAGGGACTCTTCCTCCTCTAGACGAGTAGTGAATGTGCAAGGTGACTGGAAGAACAGGCTGGCAAAGGAAGGTGGGCATCGTGGCAGAGGCCTGGCGCTCGGAAGGGGTGTCTGGTGTCACCTGCCTGATGGCTGGCAGAGGATCTGGTCCTTTGTAGGACAGAAGCTGCCCATGCAGCGGAGCAAGCACAAGGCAGGGACAGGACTGCGAGGCTGGAAGGGCCTGAGGAGAGGGAGGGAGTGGTGGAGGCAGCAGCAGGACTCTGATGGGCTGGGCTCACACACGTCCATGGCTCTGAATTTTTCAAGAAATAACTTTGCCCTTTCAGTTTTTCTTGAAGATTCCTAAACTCATCAAGTGTCAGCAAGCACTTGTTATGCCTTAAGGGGAAGCAAGCCCTGTCTTTTACGCCTCCTCTTCAGAGCCATCTTACCAGCAGCTAGCTGGCTTTCAGGCCTGCCAGACCTCTGGGCCACCTACTGGGCTGAGACCAGTGCTCCCGCTTCCCGCCTCAGTTGCTGTGTCTACGGCTGGTGTGGGCTGCGACAGTAGTGTCTCTTGAGAGCTCCATCAGACGGTTCCACTGTGCAGCCAGAAAGGAAGTCCCGCCTTTAACACACAAAGCTCCTCGGTCTGTCAGTGCTGCCAGGCTCATCCTGTCACGTTTCCCAGGGACACTGTGTGGCCCTGCTGAGCCCCTTGGTGGTAAAATGCATAGTGCTGTTCCGTGCCTTTTAGTCTTTACCTTGCTGTCCTCTGTCCTGAGAAAATTCCCTCAGCCTAAGTCGGCTGGCAAACTATCCCTACTAACGTTCCACTGAGCTTTGGAACTGAGCTCTCCTGTTGTACCTGAGCCTTGGAGTTGGGTAAGTAAGTGAATGAAAGCAGAATGCAGCGCCAGGCCTCAGGGACCGCGCGCCCGGCAGGTGGGCAGGTGCTGAGTTCAAGTTGTGAGAAGCAGCAAGGTTCCAGGGTCCCCACCTGAAGGTGCAGTGGCTGTGTAAAACGAGGCAAGCTTCCGACCCCCTGCAAAGGTGGCGCCTCGTGTAGGAAACGGAAATAACGGTTCTTTCCTTACTGTATTGTTGCGCGCATCAGAGAGTCAACAGAGAGTCCAACAATAAGCTAATTTGGAAGGCACGGTGCCTGCTCAAAAGCAGGCCCCGTGGCAAAGTGCGGAACCGCTTGTGCTGCAACAAGGCAGGTAGACTCTGGACGCCACAAGAAGTTGTAGCTGGGAAAAGCCTCACCGAGGAATTGGATGTGGAGAGGTAATGACTGAGGGTGAAAAGATTACATTTCAGAAGGGAAGCGGAGTAGCACAGCGGAAGTTAGCGCAGGAACACTGAGCGGATGAGGTTTCAGGCCGCTAGCAAATACGCAGTGCGCTGTTGCTTTCCCAACTCACTTCCTGTCTTCCTGTTTTACCCTTTCACATACCTGCATAGCGATTCCAGTGCTAAACGTGTTTCCAATGAGACCATTTTTTTTCTTCTCAGACAAAATCTTTTTTACCAGTGACCGTATATGATTATCAATGCTCCTTAGATCCTCACTGTCTACCTTTGTCTGTCCTTTGATTAGATCTCTCTTCACACATGTCAGAGCCAGAACAGCCATTGCCCCAGTATCTGTCAGGAAAGAAAACACTGGTACCAACTACGCCAGTTTGTCCCGCCCTGTGAGATTTCTGGGATGCGGCACTTTCAGTGTTCTTAGAGCGACAGATCTGGAAAGCATGGGGTGGTTGGTGTACTAACCGAGGATGGGAGAGGAGGATTTCGAGATACAGCAATCATTCCTGTAGTACCAACCCTCAAATACTGAAGAGCCCTTCCCTATGTTGAGCTGCCGTGTGCCCCATACTGAATACTGTACAGCCTGCAGCACATGCGGATTCGTGTGTGCACAGATGTGAGTCATCTGCTTCTAGATCCTGGCTTCTCTTCTCTTTTCTGTCTTTCTCTAATTTTCCAGCCACGTTGACAAAGGAACTAAGAAAGCTCAGGATGACAGACTAGATGCTTGGTCCATCTACGGAGTAGGAAACGGCAATGGCCAGAGGTGCCTTTCAGTGGTCCTGAGGATGGGAAGCGTGGGGAAGGGATGGGGATGTGAGAGGACAGGAGTCCTTTGTCTGGCCTGAGACGTGGTGAGCGCAGCACTGTTGGGAGCCACTGAAGCTGGAGCCTGATCCTACGTGGGAGGGCAGGACAAGGCCTCAGTGCTACAGCAGTTCAGAAAGCCATCCTGCCTGGACAGCATTTCAGCTATTGGTCACGAGGCAACCTTGTCCCAGGCCACTAACTTTGCAAAGGTATAAATGAACACCCCTCGTGTTGTCCTTTGGGTCCTTTGCCAGTCAGGCAAACAGACCACCCCTGACCCAGCTCTTGTCTTCTTGTCAGTCTTTTCTTCCTTCCTGCCACAGTTTACTCCCAGGACACCGAGAGACCAACGAGTCCCTACGTAGCACCTTCTTTCTCACGTAGGAAAAGGAATGTGAGAAAGCTCACATTTTCCTCTTAGAAATAATGAGTGGTGGTTTGCTCTTTGAACTTCTCGGGGTATAAACTCAGCAAAATATTCTACAAGAGTCCAGTAGCCCATAATAGTATTGGGTCTTCTGCTTGACTGGCCATGTCAGAAATTGTTGACCTGAGTCCCCTACAGCTCAACATAACAGCATGGCTTTACTTCTTCTATTTCATTTTTATACTTTTCTGCTGGATGGTTAAGACCAAGGTAAAGCAAGACCTATGCAACAAGAGTTGTAGCTTTTGGGTCTGATAAGGTCAGTGAAATACCCTCAGGATTTATCCTGAGATCCTGTACCTCAGATTGTAGAACCTTTGTCAGTGTCAGCCATGTGGGTGAGTCACGGCCATTGTTTGGCCAATGTGCTCTCTGTGAAAGCCTGAGGGAATGTTTTCTCTCCATGTGACTCTCCTTAGGCACACTCTACATCATCAATCACTTGTTTACACACCTATAATATTCAAATAACAGGACTTAACAAAAAAAGGGTATACAGATGAATGTCCATTTTGTATCTGTGTATTCAAAGTGGTTAGGATAGATATATAGTTACATTCTCTTAATGCATAGAGTGATTTGTTCTAATGGTGTTTGTAAATAGGATATCATGTCTGCATCTTGTATAGCAATTAACCACTAGGAAGAATGTATGCAATGTGTTAATTATTGAAACTGTCCTACCAATTTGATTTGAAACTGTCTCATTGCTATTTGTCTATCAATAAAATTATGAAAGTGAAAAAAAAAAAAAAAAAGAATGAACTTCTCAGGGAGAAGGAACCTGCGTAACTTGATCCCGAGGGGCTGGCCATGGTGCTGGCTGTCTAGAGACTTTGTTGGGTGTGAAAGTGACTCAAGATAGCTGGTCCTTCTCCCCATGAACCTGCTCTGCACTGGCTTGGTGGACTTTGTCACTGAAGCTACATTGTCAGAGGGCTGTGGTGAGTCAGAGACATAGCAGTGCTACAGAAAGGAGCCTTACTTTCCTGAACTCTTACACTTCCGAGATTGCTTCATGTGAATATTCTTGTGCTCTATCCTTATCTTGCAGGTAGAATGACCAAGAGGTAGGCTAGGAATCAGGTCTTCCCGTTGTACCCTATATCTATAAAGAGGCTAAATTGTCATCCATCATCCATTTCCCCCCCAAAGAAAATTGCCTTCTGAGGGGATCAGGGCAAAAAAGCACTGGAAATGAAAATCAGAATCATTTTGTAGAACAATCAAAGGGCACAAAAGCTATTGGCCAGGTCCTCTGTGTCTAGGGACTTGCTAAGGACTCACCTACTACGAAGTGGCCATGAAAGTAATAGTTTTTGTTTCCAGGAGCAAAGAGGTCAGCAACTTGGGTGGTAGAGTATCGCCCACGGAACAGGCACAAGGCCAGGGCTCCCAGGCTGAGCTGGTAGTAGGTAGTAAGAGGCCTGCCGTCATGTGCATCTGAGAAAGAGGAGGAGAAACAACGCTTTACTCGCCGACGCGATCTGGGGGCGATACACCATTCAACCTGCTCGTGCTTACTCTACTCCCGCTTGGCTAGAAAGACAGTGAAGTAGTAGGAGGGAAAGAGCAGCAGCAAGCCTGTGATGTTTAGAGGCTCTTCAGGGCCACCGAAGTCAACTTGACTGCTTTCAGTTTGTAACTGAGAAGATACAGCACTCAAGAGGTTAAGACATTCGAGCTTGTCCTTTATAGCAGAGCAGCACTCCGTGGTGTGTAAACGCCACCTTTCCTTTACTTGTTCATCTCTTGACGGGCCGATAGGCTGCTTCTGAGAGGTCGCTGTTGAGAGCCACGCTGCTCTAAGCATGAGTAAGGATGGACCCCTGTAACACGATGTCTTTAATTCCTTCAGGAAGATGCCTAGAAGGGGAGTCGCTGGGGTGCATGGACTTTCTAGCTTTAGATTTCTGAGGAATCTCCATACTTATTTGAAATATAAAATAATAAGTTAAAGAGTGAAATAAAAAGAATAGGAAACAGGAAGATAGAGCATCTATGGGGCCAAATAGCTCAGCAGATTAAAAAGCCTGCAAGCAGGTGCAGGAACTGGGGGTTCAATCCCTGGGCCTGCCATGCCGGCCCTGTCCCCAGGGTGTACTGAGATGATGATTGAGACTAGGCATGGTGGCGGACACCTGTAATCCCAGCCCTTGGGAGGCTGTAAACAGATGGATCACTACGAGTCTGATCTAGTAGTGAGACTCTGAACACCCTGTAGACCCTTTCCTAAAATAAAAAAAAAAAGAGAGGGGAATGGAGCATCTACGCCAACTCTGTGGTGAGTGTAATCACTACGTAATGCAGACATGCGCTGATACAGCAAAGAAGATACTTCCCAAATAGTTAGATAGCTATGGAGCTAGAACCAGGAAGATTCCTGTCTTCAGACCTCTCGCATTTTCAGCAGTGAGACTGATCCTGAGTGAAACAAGCCTGGGCTGGAGGCATCTCAGAGGAGCTGGACTTGGAGGGGCGGCATAAGTAATAGGATAAAATATTGGTTAGGATTTGACATAAAAGCGGTGTGCTCCAGGGCCGCCCCCACAAGCAAGCTGTGTTTCTCAGTCATGCAGAACTCCGGTCATCTTTAGCACTTGATACCTTGGCGCTAATGACACAGCTGCTCTTCACAAGCTCACTGTTTGTTCAGATGTTTCTCATGTAATTCATTATTTGTCTCAAAGCCCAGCTCATGGAGGCGTTAAGAATGGTGTCTGGTGTCTGGTGTGTGTGTGTGTGTGTGTGTGTGTGTGTGTGTGTCTGTCTGTCTGTCTGTCTGTGTGTGTCTGTGTCTGTGTCTGTGTCTGTGTCTGTGTCTGTGTCTGTGTCTGCCTGTCTGTCTGCTACTGTTAAGTAGAGCAGCCTGACATAGGCCAGGGCTCAGATCGACAGAATTAACAAGAGAATTCAAGCTGGGGAGATGGCTCAGTAGAACAAGCACTTGCCTAGCAAGAACAAGGGCCTGAGTTCAATCCCCAGTTAAAAAAAAAAAAAAAAAAGAATTCAAGATGCTGTGGAGAGGACCTGGAAAGGTAGCCTATGTGCTGGGTGGGAGCAGAGAGCAGGACGAAGCGCTCCTTTCTATGGTTCTAAACCCAGGGAGGAGAAGACAAGCTTGTCTGGGGTCCCTGAACATTTGCTTCTTACCCATGTTTTCAATTTCTGCTTGGAACTTATTTTCTAATTGGCTAAGTAGACGACGATCATATATGACAATTTCATCAGGGGTGTGACATGCTCCCAAAGCCAGTGTGACCAGAGCAAGCTGTCCCGAGCTGAGGCTGGACCCTGGAAGGGAAGCGTCCGAGCTTAGTGAGGCTTGCGCTTGGGGTGTGTGGGCCTCTGTCTTCCTGGTGACTCATTTTCTTTCTGTCTTTTTGTCTATGCCGTACTAACATTTTCTGTTCTCTCTTTTTGCCCTGGTACTGAGCTTTTATGGCTATTCTGTATCGCTGCAAGCTAGAGTTTAGTCTTCTCCTTAAAATCATGAGATGTTTTGGTAAACAAGTAATCTTTATAAGAATGAAAACAGAAGAAAAACAGATAAACAAGATCTTGGGATCTTTTTTTCTTTATGGGGTGTCATTTAGCAAGACAGTAACAGCTGGTTTCTATGTTCTGCTCTGTGGAACCAACACTCTCAGACTTCTTGTAACTCTTACTAATACTGGGAGGAGCTGAGTGGGCTTCGCTTCCCTCTCCTCCCGCTGCTGTGCCAGGTTCTTCTCTACTGTAAGCTTTCTTGGTTCTGACTACAGCCTGTGCTGTGATCCCAGCCAGCCTATGCGACGGTACTAGCAGGCGAGAGTCCAAACCTTCTTTTGCTTTCCTGTGTGGTCTCTAAAGGAAAATGGTTTTTAGAACCCAAAGAAGCAAGACTGAGACCTCAAGTGAGTGGCATGGGACCGGCCTTTCCAGGCAGCTCTCTACCACCTCAGGTTCTGCACAGCTAGAATAGTTGTGGCAGGGGTACCTACCAAGATGCCTGCTCCTCATGAGGAGGGAAAATAACTTCTTAGCTGGGCAGATCTTTTCTTAAAGCAGCTGGGGGATATGGGCCCTCACCTTTGCTCCCCACCTCCTTTCTGACTTGTTGCGACAGTGGCTGGAGTAGCGTTTGGTTCTGGATCCCGACGAGTCTGAGGGACAGCAGGGCATCAGCCGCTTGGGTTCCCACAGCAGGCTTTGAATTGGTTATTGTATTCAACAGAGGGCTTAGGAGGAAGTAGCTTTCTTCCCTTACTTCTGTGGCAGAAGAGAGAAGAAACACCACAGCATTATTACCAGGTAGGTGAGGGTGGCTTTGTTTCTTCTTCCTCTTCTTCAAACACTGAGGCTCAAAGACCGAGCTTGGATTCCGACCAAGCCCAAATCCCTACTGCTTCTCTGTCATCAGCTTGCTTCGTGGTGGTCCACATTCTCTTGTGGTTGTTGGCTCAGCTAGTGTATGCAAAAATAGTAGTGTGTGAGAAACGCACAGACAGAATGTTAAGGTAGGCACAGTGATTCTGTGAAGATACCTAGTGACACACATGACATGGCTCTAGAGTAATCCAGCGACCACTGGCTGTGTTGGTGGAACAAGCCAGATGGTGGTCTGGAGCCCTCCCTGACTGCTTTTTTAACAAAGAGCATGGAAATGTGTGAATATTCTAATTGCTGGTGTAGACTTCGCCTTTCCCCACGAACTAGCAGAATCTCAGCTCTGCCTGAGAGATTCAGTGTCATTCACTGTTTTTGGGTATGAAGGCAGAGAGGCTGTCCTTAAAGAATCTCTGCCATCAGAGGTTCAGGTGGAATCAGAATGCATGTCTCAGTCCCCACCTACGAATCTTTCTACTTCCTCCATTCAAATCTTTTACCCAACTGGGTCCGTGCAAAGGGGATAAAGGCGAACATTCTATTTGTCATTGGAGATTGACCCCAGAACTGCTTTGGCTGGTTGCACAAGCGGCCAGGAGCCAAGACATTCTTCATTCAGTGGTGCACTCCCTGTGCAGACCCCTCCGGCTGTAGCCGGTAGCATTTCCAGATCTAAGGGTGATCATGGAGGGAAATCCCATTCTACAGTGGGAGTAAGAGAGAACCCAGAGCCTCCAGAGGACTGGAGGAGAACCAATAGAGTCAGTTATCACCTAAACTATAAGAGGATTTCTCCAATACTTTGGCCATAGTTTTGAGAAGTACCCTCCAGTCCTATCCTTCTCCAGATTATCTCTAGTGGGGTGTAGACAAAATTATGGCCCAGTTACCTTTGGCTGGACTCTTAGCTCCCTAACTTATGGTTATGTGTAAGTTATATAACTTCCTTGGCTTAAAAATTGTGGATATTAACTCCTACCTCACGGGGATAAGAAACCACTTATAAGCTGGAAAATGCTTTACATATTATCCTTTCCAGCCTAACTGGAATTTCTGTCATTATAGCTAGAGAATCCAGGAAATGTCTTTTCTTTTGGCCACTTTCTTTTACTGAGGAAAATCCAAATGTGTGATTATTAGGTCATAGTATTTTTTCTTTCCCAGATATAATACAGCGATTGTCAATTGTTCCTGAGATTTCATGAAAGCATCCAGTTTGACACCTTTTCTGGCATTGAAGCAGACTTTTTAGTTCCTGGTAAACAATTCACATCAGCTCCCATGACCACTAAGGATAAATACGATCATTCTGTGCCATGAACTGAATTTGAAAGCCTTCACAGAAATCTCCTGTGCTGGACCCAGCAGGGCAAGTGACAGTCTAGGAGGAAGAGCTGGGGTGGGCAGACTCTGTGCTTTAGCTGCTTGGACACAAGCCTGTTGCCTGGGGTGCTGACCCCCTTGCTAGCTCCAGAATGCCAGGAAGACTGCGTGATCTCGTTGTCGTCTTTGAGTTGGCTGAAAGGTCAGTTCCAGATTACAGACTCGTAAACGAGAAGCCATACTCCTGATTTCTGGGGTCAGGTAGGCTTTGACGCTCTCCCCTTAGCACTCCCCACTTATGGGTGAAGATGAGGAAGTTCAGGTATGTGCTGAATCACTGTGATGCCCAGGGGTCAAGCTAGACCCAGGCCCAGTCTTCCTTTCTCCCTCTGTAGTATTTCTTTCACAAGAACCACACACTCTGGAGCCAACACGTGAAGGGGAGACAATGGTGGGGCTCAGCCCTGCATCCTGTGGGCAGGGCTGCGGGGAGAGAGATGCACACAGGCCTGAAGCATCACAGCTCATTCCTGGCAGGGGGGCAGTTCTCTAATGTCTTGAAAGACATTATTGTCATATTTTCCCTGGGTAGTTACACAGGTTAAAACCAAATTAATGGATCAAACAACAGGAAAATAAATTTCACAATCAAAGAATAAATTCCTACAATCCTGAGCTCTTTCTGGGATGATGAATTTTTATCATTGATATGAACAAAATAGTTACTTCTTTGTGATGGTGTTGCAGGTAGATTAGAGCACGAGAAAACTTAGGGCAAGTTGACTATGCGTCTGTGGCCCATCTCCAATTGATATGCGCCATGGAGCTGCCATCGCCATTTCTGGCTACCTCTGCCATCCCCCGTGTATCACTAACACGTGCGGACCTGTCCTGGGATCTATTCTTAATTAACTCTGCATAGGCGGCCTTGCTATTGGCTCTCGGGAGCCTGTCACATGAGACTAACCATGATCTCAGTGTACTCACCACATATCTCGCCAGGTTGGCCTGGAATAAGAGAGAAGAGTAGGAGTCCCATGAAGGGGAGCAGGCGTGATTGTTCCATCTCTCCTTGGCTGGCTCGCCAGTGTTGGGGCTTGGCTTGGGCGACAGGCAGAGCGTGAGGAGAGCACCTCTTCCAGGTTGCCTCAGCCTCTGTCACTCAAGTGAATATTGCACAAGACCAGGAGGCGTGGCCAGTGTATTTGTCCAAATACTGTGCTACGTCAGGAAGAAGTCTTGAAAGGTATAGGCAGGAGAGTGAGGAAAGGATTTCTCTTTGCATCTTGCTCCAGGGTTCACATTTGTTCCTTGTTTTTAGCTTAATAGATATAAATTAGCTGAATGACTTTTCAGTAATGTTTCCTTCCTTTTCATTCCCTTTTGGCTATATTTCAGTTTTATCTCCTGAGAAATTAGATTGGATGGGGCAAGGACATAAAACACAAACAAAAGGAAGTAGAAATTTTAGGTCTGAAGTAATAGGCTGCACCAGGGAGGCTGCTGGCACTTAGGAGAATCTTTGGTAGGGTGGTTTTGACCGAAGGTTTTCTCTGAAACAGATGATTCTCAGAGTTTCTTCGTCCAGGAGGGAAACCAGCGAGACATTATCAGATGTGGGACTGTGCGCTGCCAGGGTGGCTGCTCACTGTCACATGTGTGAGGTGTGCCCTATTGGAGTACTTTTAAAAATGGTTCCAGGAGCCAGGTGTGGTGGCTCAGACTGCAACCTGAGCACTCAGGGGCAGAGGCATGAGGATTGTTGCCAGTTCGAGACCAGCCTGGGCTACCAAAAGAGCTCAAGGCCAGCCTGAACTGCATAGCAAGACTCTGTCTCAGAAAGACAAAGAATGACTCCAGGATACTGCTGACCTGGCTAAGGACATGACCACAACGTAGGACAAGCTTGTGGCATAGGACTCTGCTCTGGCCAAATTTTCCATGTCACTTTTTTTGGCCATGAGGTGCTGAGATTAAACATTTCTGGATTTGCCTGGTAGGCTATTCCAGATAAGATTAGAATTTGCTTCAGCGATTCCCTCAAAGAGACTTCCTTCTCCTGTGAGCATGGACATCATGAATCCACTGAGGGCCTGACTAGAACTAAAGGTGGAGGAAGGAAGGCATTATCACTTTCTGCTTCCTGCTAGCGCATCTGAGCCTGGGGAATCTCCTCCCATCCTCTCCAGACCTAGGCTCAGGATGTGTACCCCTTTGCAGGCTCTGGTTCTGAGGCTGTTGGACTCAGGTTGAATTACACTGGTGGCTTTCTCAGATCTCAGGTTTTGGGATAATGGGACTTCTTCCCCTTCCTGACTGCATGAGTCGATTCTTCATAATCCTCATCCTCGTTCCTTCCTTCTTCCTTCTGTTCTGTTTCTGACTCTAGGAACCCTGACTACTGCAACTTTGTTATACAGCCCAATGCCCAGTCCATAGCCACACTCATATTCAATGTAAAATATTACAATAGACACCGGGGAATCCAACATAAGACCGACTCCGTCTAGGCCCACATTGTGGGGGTTGTGCCATGCGGTATAGGAGTGGAGAGGGTGCCTGCGGCTGTGAGAAACCTGCTCCTCAGGGCCCCTGGCCAGGAGGACACCTTCTTCCCCAGGAGTGATGACAAGAAATGTCTCCAGGCACAGCCCCGTGCTCCCCGGGGTCAGTGTCGCCCCTGCTATGGGAACTGCTCGTCAAGACTTAGACTAGTTTATATGCTGTGGTGGGACGTCTTATGCTTCCCTGGCCTTCTCAGTGCGGTCTGGCCCCCACCAAGGGCAGACCCATAGAATCACCCTTTCATCCTCTTCCTTGATTCATAGCCTCACTTCTACCCATCTGTACATGATTTTCTAGATTCCTTCTTAAAACTCTTCATTGAGTACGCTCTCAGCTCCTTGGGCTCTTTTTCAGTTTCTGATACTTTTTAGACCCTGCCCTGCTTAACTCCAGTTGAGCAGGAGCCTATGCTGTATCTGGACCCAGGTTTGATGAGGCTGCTGCCATTGGAATGTGTGTGTCCTTCAAATCCGTAAGTTGAAAGCCCAACCTCAAGGCGAGGCCCTTGGGGGGCGAGCTGCTTGGGTCAAGGAAGTGGAGCCCTCACAAACAGTCTTCATGCCTTTATTAAGAGAGCCCTAGTGAGACCTTTGTTCCTTCCACCACACAAGGAGACAAGAAGAGGTGCCATCTATGTGTGTCCTCGTCAGACACCCAACCCGAGGCCACCTTGGTCTGGGGCCTCCTAACCTCCAGATCTAAGAGAAATGGCTGTTTTTTTTTTTGTTTTTTTTTTTTTCCACAACCGGGGATTGAACTCAGGCCCCTGCGCTTGCCAGGGAAGCGCTTACTCTACTGAACCATCTCCCTGGCCCCATGATTGTTCATTTATGAGCTGTTCAGTTCATGGTTAGCAGCATGAGCAGACAAGGACAGAGGGCGCAAAACTGTGACCCACAGTGCTGGTTTTGCTCGCTGATCTCTAACAGACCTGCAGTGCTGAATGGCAGTCAAGCTGTCACTCCCTACAAGGTGACTTTTCCAATTACCCTTTAAAATGGGCTCATACACATCATTGGTCCTCAAAGCTCTAAGCCCTACTCTTGCATTCTTACCTCCACTGGTAACCTCCATGCCTGCTTCTGTGAGGTGTCTGTTCATTTCCGGCGCACATTTCTGGAGTGGACCTTTTACTTTGTGGGGGTTCTAATTTTTTTTTTGTTTAAGGAAGGAAAGGTTTATTTAGGTATAAAGAACTCAAAAGGTTTATTTATATATAAAGAACTTAAAAATGTTATTCCTAATATTTTGAGTTCTTTATATATTCTAGATATTAGTTCTCTGTCTGCAGAATAAGTCTATTAATTTCTTTGAGTCTCAATTTTCTTACCAGTAAAATGTCGAGAATAGTAGTTCTCATGAAGTGTGGTCACCGACTACAGTGGCTGTTCAACTTTTAAACATTCACCACAGTACAAGATACATGGATTTCTCTCACTTCTTTCTTCCAACTTTCTGAAACAGTTCTGGAAGGTTTCCTTCGCATCTTCAGGTGCTCTGCCACAGCTCCTTTGATGTCCCAAGTTCATCCAAAACATTTCCCTTTGACATTCGTTTTGACTTTGTGGAGGAGCCAGAGAGCCACCGTGCAAGGTCTGCGGATAAGGTGGGTGAGAGCGCAGCGTCGTGTTTTCGTGGGCCTGCCTTTCCAGTGCATGGCAGCTGCATCCACTGTGCTTGTTATAAACTCTGGCACAGACACTGAAGAACGAGGACTCCAGAACTGCTTCAGAACGTGGTGAGAGCAGTGGAACGAGTGTGTTGCAGTGGAGGAGGACTTCGGGAGGGGCTCACGGCAATGTGTCCTTTGCTGTGACAAGTTTTCATCATGCATAAGCGTATTCTTTGATCAGCCCTCACACCTCTTAGTCTTCACGAGTGTTCAGTGAGCTACTGCGTGGAGGCTTTGTCCCACAGTCCCAGCACTGGATTATGAATTAATGACGAACTAGCAGTCTGCCCTACAACTGCATGAGGCTTTGGGGGGACATCTAGACCCAAACCACCACAGGCTTCTTAGAGCATCACTGGGCACATAGTAATTAATAGCTGCTCTTGTCTCCGTAAGAGCCACCCCCACAGTCCCACTTGCCTGGGGTCTGGTTTTTGTGTTGGGGTTCTCTGTATTCCTGCAGCCACCTACCTACTCAACTCGCGGAGTCCTCCTGGACCCACTGTTTCTCCACTTTTGCTCTTACTCTTCTGGCCAAAATTATGACAATTTTCTACAGCATTGAAACAATTTCCCAATGTGTTTCTCAACATTCACTTTCACCCCTTTGTAGGCCACCATTCACCTGCCTCCTGGAGTAATATTTCTGAAACTTGATGAAAACACGGAGCACATTGGAAGAGAAGTACGCGCAAGGAATGCAGTTTAAAATAGTCCACCTTACAACTTTTAATCTACGCAGAGGTAAGTGTTGCATGTTCCTGGCAACAATGATATATTGTGGTGCTGTATGTTTATCATCTTTGTGCAGCTGAGCGTGACCCCAGGGCCTCTGCATGGAGCCACCCTCAGCCCCCTTTTTATGTTGTAGTTCAAGGCAGGGTCTCACTAAGTCACAAAGTTGCTCAGGCTGGGCTCAGACTTGTGATCCTCCTGCCTCAGCCTCCCAGAGTGCTGGATGACAGGGGGTGCCTCCATGCTCAGCTGTGCTGCTCTAGAAGAACTATGAGCGTCCTCACTCCTGGGTGAGCCTAGACGCTTTCGGCAGCACTGGCGTGAGAGGCACACGGGCGTGATCTCGAGGGGCTCTCCTCTCCGCGCCTTCTCAAGCTTCGGGCGTCCCGTCGCTTCCCCGTACTTTGTGTTCCGGCCTCAGGTTTCCAGTTCCTCCCTGTGCCAACTTCCTTCCTACCACAGGGCTCTTGAGCACATGGTGTCTGGTCACGGGCATCTTCCTGCCCAGTCACGTGTCCCACAAATCCTTTGGGGTGGAGGCCGTGCCTCTGGGGATGCTCCCCTTGCACCCGGCCCGCATTCCCATCCCCTGCTGCCACTGTCCTGGCACTCTACCTTCTGCAGAAGCACTGATGAGAGCTGCAGCTAATTATTTCTGCATTGTCCTTGTCTCCCTGCAGGCCTGTGGGTTCCGCAAGGGCAAGGACGGGTCTTTCTCCTTCACTGTTGTGCCCCTCACTGACCCAGCAGAGTGCCTGTGCCTAGGAGGTTGTCACATGCTGCTGAGAGAAATCTCAGATCCCTTCACCAAATGATAATCACACATGCTGGTAATTTCATTGAAGAAATATCAGACGTCTATATATCTAGGGAAAAACTAGAAAAAAGAGATGCTTGAGATAGCTTGCATTTAAGCACTTACAGTCGAGTCCAAAGCGTTGGTTAGTTATAGCTGTCTCACCACCACTTCTTACCTTATCAAGTAGCCACTCAGAGACCAACCCCACTCTCTTTCGCTCACCTGTCCCCACACTGATAAGTACAGCTTGTAACTGTGGTTATTCGTTGACTTGCTGAAGGCGAGATTGAGAACTGAGCCAAGGACT